TTTATTTTGATATTCATACACGTATGTGAATGAAAGCGAATCTTTCTATCCATCTTCACTTTTATTTTAATAATCAGATCTAACAAAAGAATGCATTCTTATCGCATTTTTTCATCTTATTTTTTATTTCTTAATCAAACATTTAAATACTGTTGATATTGTTTTGTATTATTTGTAGTTGGAGAGCGTGGAATATCTCATTATGATAATATATGATAACATAAATTTTATTATTCTATTTAATTTTATCACATGAATATTTCTCAACTAGAGTTCTGTATTTAATACTTTCTTCCAGAAAAAAAAATAGAGAGGAAATGCAGATACAGTAAAAGATTGTTATATGGATTTTTATTTTGATATAGAAATATCTTTTTTCGATTAAATCAGACATGATACTATGCATAATAATATCGATTAGGCAGAAAATAGATGAAAGATCGAAATATCCTTGGATATACTTTAATTTTATTATATGATCTTGCATTAAACACAGGGATTGGTAAATATCTAAATATGGATTTATTCCATAATAGTGTTGTCTCACTATTATATAGTCGTCATATGATTTTATATAAGCAGAAATTTTATTACATAAGAAATTGTTATCGCCATGCGATTGTCAAAGATAAAATTCATAAACTACATTATAAATTTTATTTACGTTGATAGAGATAAATTTGTTTTCAGTTTGTTTATAGAAAAGAAGACAACATGCTCTACTTTTAAAACAGTTTTATATTTTATTATAGCTTTGGATATATTTTTATGACACGATTGAATATAAAATCTCATGATTTTAGACGAGAAAATTATATAAGAAATACATAATTATAATGAAGTACTGATAGAACTTGCATGTGAAAAACACAATGCAAATTAATGACACAAGAATTTGAATTATAAAAATGTATACAAAAGAGATAATAGTGTAAAAAATTATGCTATACAATTTATTGTACATCAAAGAATATAAACTTATAACTTTAATATATTCATAATTTTTATGCCATATATAAAGTTATCAATATTAATNTTAATAATTTAATAACATACATATATATAATTCTTAATGTCAAAATAAATTAAAAATATTAAAAACAATTGCATAAAAATAATAATAACAACATATGACAAATTATTAGTATAAATATTCAGATATAATAACAAGCATTTCATAGATTTTTCAAACACTAGTATTTTACATATACATATACATTTTGTGTTAGAAAACTTTTTATAAAAAATATTATTTTTGAGTTGAGATGTGATATTGAAAATTATTGTATGTAACACAAATGTGTCTAAAATAAAAAACGTTACACAAAACTTCGATCTCTATTAATATAAATATACATTTGATACAACATTTAGCATTTAAATTTATATATGCGTATAATATTTGTTTATATAATTAAAAAGATTAGAGTTACATTATACGATATATTACTAAAATATTATAATATCCATAATCTTAAAACATGTTTAAAAAGATATATGATATACATAATCTATATCTATATATATTTTTACTTTAGTATAAAACTGACTAATCTTTTTAAAACAAAAAAGTTTATGCTATCTTTTGAATTTACTAATTATATACATAAAACATAGTAATATTATATTAATATTCTACATCTGTCAAACGATATCTCTTATATATTATATCTTTAGAGATAGTGCTACAATTTTTTTAATCAGTTTCGTATTCTACGATAAAGCTTATAAATAAAAGATGAGCTTAAAAAAGTTTCTCTTTATTTTTTAAACATTTATCCAAAAATATAATAGAATCTCGTGATAAAGATTGGATATGTGTATGCATCATAGTTTTTATCATTGATGGATTTAATAAGTTTATAATTCAAGTGATTCATTTGATTATATTCTCTCCTTTATTTTTTTCCATTTTTTATAAAATGGAAACGATTTTTTTGATTCTTGATTTGAGATAAGCATATTTTTATCTTGTAATGGATAAGCGAAATTCGTTTTTTTATTAAAGTTCTCACACATTTATATATCTGAAACAAATTATCATTAATAAAAGTCGTAATTTCTTTTCGCTCTATATAGATGTAAAAAATAAGATGCAATATTTCTTTTATTTCTGATTTTTGCAATATAATTAATTGAGTTCTCACACTCTGAAACAAATTATCATTAATAAAAGTCGTAATTTCTTTTCGCTCTATATAGATGTAAAAAATAAGATGCAATATTTCTAATATTTCTTATTTTTGCAATATAATTAATTGTAAGA